CTACTACTACTACTACTACTACTACTACTACTACTACTACTACTACTACTACTACTACTACTACTACTACTACTACTACCAATAATATAACGATAAGAATGATAAGAAAAAAGACTATAAAACGAAGAAACGACTGCAACAGATTTTGTTACTCAACAGAACTTCGATAAATCCAACTCATCAAAGCCGAAAAAGATCAAAAGAGATTTGTTTACACCCTGTTTCTATGAGTTGCTACCAAACCATATATTTAACAAGGCCATAAAAGGCAGTACAGCAGCTTGTGAAATCGTCAAAGACAGTATAGCCTGCGGGATCGTTCAGGACTTTTCTCCATAATCATGATATACGTGTACATAGTAGAAGATTTTCATCGAGTCTCCCGGATTTGCGGTCTCATGCTGTCTTTCATCGTCGAGTGGCCTACTGTAGGGTAGCGGCTCAGGACGATAATGAATTAAGTATGTCCGCGAGCCGGCCAGCTTCCGGGGGTGGTCTGCGATCAGAGGCCATAAAACACAGCTAATTAGCTTAGCGTATCAGTGGAGCATCTCCAATATCGCTACTGGTGGCTACACTGGGGGGATGATACGGGATATGGGAGGAGGAGGAGGGAGGCAGGATGAGAGGGTAAGGAGAGCGGGGGGGGGAGGTAGTGTGAGAGAGAGAGAGAGAGAGAGAGAGAGAGAGAGCGAGAGAATTTGTGTGCCCGTGAGCGTGTGCATGAGAGTGTGAGTGCTTGTGTGTCCAGCTATGTGTCACTATGTGCATGCTTAACATGCATACATTTTAAAAAGATTACACATAACATGATAACAACGACCACTACAACAATAACAACAGCAGCAGCAGCAACAAAAACAACAACAACAGCAACAACAACAAAAACAACAGTAACAATAACAAAGATGATCGACAAACTTCTAGACATCAAGAGCTCTACCTGAGATCGCCACCAGTCTGAAGCGCAACATATTAACAACAACAACAACAACAACAACAACAACAACAGCAGCAGCAACAACAACAACAACAATAACAACAACTACGACAACCACAATCTTTTAGATAACTCTACCTGAGAGCGCCTCAAGTTTGAAGCGCACAAGATTGGCAACAGCAACAACAACAACACAACAACAGTAATAATAACAACAGCTACGACAACCACACGCTTCTTATTCATTTCTATCTAAAGGGGTCACCAGTTTTAAGCGCACAAGATTGGCAACAGCAACAGCAACAACACAACAGCAACAAGACCAACAACAACATCATCAACACAACAACAACAGCAACAACAACAAAAGCAACAGCAACAACACAGCAATAAGCTTCTACTTCTAGACATAATCTGCTCTACCTGAGAGTGCCACCAGTTTGAAGCCCCATCCTATGGACCAGAACCAGCCAACCAGAAGGAAGGTGACGGTGAAGAGCTGGGCCAGGCCCAACATCAGGTTCGCACAGATCGTGGACATCAGCTGGTCAGTCTTACCGGACAGTCGGGGCTGACCGCAGCACAAGATGGATAGGCCGCTCACGGCGGTACCTTGTGAGTTCACATGAAATGAGGGGGGAGTTCGTCAGTTGTGTCCTTTGGTTTAAAAAAAAAGTTTTATTAAGGTTTTACGGCGCTCGCAACTGCATAGTCATATGAGCTCCAAGGGGTGAATGTCAACAGAGAAGTCCAAACAGGGAATCAGGCTTACTCTGCTCACCTCTCTAGCCTCAACAGCACAAAGTCTGCTTCGACTATCAAGGTACCCCGGAAATAGCAGTTCACAAGAGAGTGACAAACATACAAAAGAAGTAGAGGAAAATGACGACTGTAAGGATGAGGAAAGAAAAAGCAGCAGTTCCTCCTAAGTTGTTCCGGCACAGTATGAGCATGGCATTTATAAATCAGCCAATTGACAATTCTGCTGTGCATAGGAACATGTTAATATCCCCCCACCCCACCCCCTTAGGAATGGCCTTAAGACACTTCAGCCAGTATCACTTCCCTGGGGACAGTCCTTTGGTTTGAAGTGTAGTCGTTTAATTAGGGGTGGAATTTGGGAGGGGGGTGCATTGCAGTGGGGAGAGGGGAGATGAGAGAGGAGAGACGGGAGAGGGGACAGGGAAGATGAGGTAAGGGGTTCGTAAGTACTTTCATTTCTTTTGAAGTTGAGTTGATTAAATGAGGGGTGGTGGTGCCGGGAAGAAGGGGTGAGAGGCTTTGCTAGTGGTTTCATTTAGTTTGAAGTTCAGGTTATTCAAATTGTTTTGGGGTTTTCTTTTTTTTTTGGGGGGGGGGGTGGGGGGGGGATTACATGAAGTCTCTGTAGACGACCGGGACATACTACAACAGACTTACCCCTCCTAGGTAAGAAGCATTATGTATTCGTATTCTTTAATATTGTGACTTTTTTTTTACCACAATCACAATAACGACGACGACGACGACGCGCGCGCACACACACACACACACACACACACACACACACACACACACACACACACACACACACATTCACACATACAGACACACACGTACACACAGCTCCTGACACACACACACACACACACACACACACACACACACACACACATACACACACCCACAAAACCCGGCCACATATATAATATATATATATATATATATATATATAAAAATGTATATAGATATGTAAATATATATATATATATATATATATATATATTAATATGTATATCAAATATAATACACTAGCTGGGCCCCCTTTTAATGAAAAGAATGATCGGTGCATTAACATCAAATGAAAGTCATTGGCTTACTAAATTTGCACTCTACTGAAATGGAGCAATAAATCTTGAGAGATGCAACAATTTAGAAGGTCTAGATCTATACTCTTAAAAAAATGCGCCACACGAAATATCACTTCCGCACTTCCGCTGTGAAGGACAGCTACGCAGATTTGTTTCGTTTCTTAGTGGAATAATCACAAAGGCCAAAGAAGGACAGGAACTTTTTGTCAAATATATTTTTCTAAATTCAGGAAATAAATAATTAAAAAATCGGGCTCCGTCATGGGGACCTATCTATCTTTTTGCAGGTACTTGCCAACTTTCAACTCGGTAGCTGTCGTAGTTTTATGGGAAAAGTGGCACATGTTTTTCAAAGTTGCCAGATCTATAATGGTACATACCCATTGATTCTCTATTCTGCTTTCGTGGTTGAAAACTTCGAAATTTCTAAGGTGAGGAACCAGTGCGCACGGCTAGTGAACGGAAACCTCACTTGTTTACAATGGCGTCTTAGAAGACAGACTTTCCCAAGATATTACATCTAAACGAAACTAATGAAAAATTGAAAATTAAACTATAGTGACTTCAGGCTCCTCAATAATACTGAACATCCTTTAAAAGATTCTGAACCACCATTAATTTAGTCACATTCGAAAGTTCAGATGTTCGGAAGTTTTAGACACCCAAAGTGACGAACTTTCACAAATATAATATAGAAATTATTAGTAACTGTATGCGTGCTACTCACCGGAGCCTGGCAGGACAATGTTGAGACACAAGCACGTGACAGCCAGGCCCAGAGGGAGGTACGGCGTCGTCTCATCATTGGCCACCACAGACTTTGTTGGCTTCTCGTCCGTGTGCGGGAGAATCACCGTGGTCGTGTTCCGGATGCGGTAATCCACAGACTTCCGCGACACAGAATCCAGCGTGGAGTCTCGTTTGGAGTACAAAGACACCGTGTCTTCTTCTAGAGGGGGCGCCAAAGGCGAGCCTGACGTCTGCGGGCCGGGGACCTGGAGGGAACTCATACTCTGAGTCTTGTGAGCGACGCGACCAGCGAGCCTGGAGTTCCCGCTACCGTGGAGGGTGTCGGGCGATGGGGAGCGGGACGCGCCGTTGAGGGGCAAAGATACATTGGAGTTTGTCGAAGTCGATAACCTTTTTTCGTTCAACTTGCGTTTGATTTTGTTAAGAATCATCTTTCCCGTTTCTGGTGTTTTGTTGGCGTCCACAGAGTCGGATGTTTCATCTACTATTGTGATAGTAGCAGGGAGAGTGGAATTTGGCGATTGTTTGGCGTGTTTTTTGTCCTCTTTCTTTCCTTTAGAACTCTCTGTATCATTTGCTTTGTCTGCGTCAGGAACTGTGATAATGATTTTGCTAGCATCCGCACGGGGGGTGCTTCGGTCCGTCCTCGGTGTGTTTTCAGTCTTATATTTGGCTGCAAGTTTGCGAGTAGCCTTCGGGGACGATGGTGTATCTTTCTTTTTGCTTTTGAACCATTCTCGGAGAGAGGGTCGTGACTTCTTTTCTTGAGGTTCTTCAACGTTGATTTTGTCTTCAATTGGTGTTTCTGATGTCACTGTTGTAGACACATTTTTATTGAAAATCCCGTTCTTGTGGTGATGTACACTGCCATTAGAAGGTGGTTGGATCATGTGGGGATTTCCCTCTATTTTGTTTGCACTCTTACCGTTTTGCTTTTCATCTGCTTTCGTCGCTGGTGCTAACGAAACCTTCTTTTCATTGCTTCTTTTCTTGATGTCTGCTTTAAGAGGAGTCAGTTTGCCTTCTTCCTTTTTCAATAACAATGTCTCTGGCTTTGCTTCTTCTTTGTCGCCGAATGTATCCACTGGTTCCATATCATCAACACTTTCGGTGGCAACATTTTCAACACTGTCGGAACGGTCCTCTCTTGACAGTTTTCCTTTCACTATATATCCACTGGCTGTCTTTTTGCTTACTGTTTTCTTAACTTCACTCGACAGTCGAGTTTTTTCAGAAGCAGAGTTTGGAGCTTTACGGCGTTGGGTTTTCGCTGGCTTCATTTTAACTGCAGCTGCAACGGTCTCTTCTGGTTTCTGAGGCTTGCTCTTCAATTTTGTTGCGATCTTGTCACCTTCTTGTGATGTCTTTGATTTGGGTCTGGCTCCTTGTTTCGACTTGCGCACTTTATTGCTACTGCTCTTTGTGGCACCGTGGAATGCCCGTCTTCTCGGAGATTTGGGTTTGTGATTCGGTGCAGAAATACTCTGGGAATAAGGTCCAACTTTTAACCTGTCTATTGCTTTCATCTCCTCCACGGACTGGTACGTTGCCATAGAAGGCTTCGCGCGACGTTTGGGGCTTTTCATGGGGAAGTCTTGATCAGATCCACTATCTAGGTTCGGACTGAGTCGGTAATCAGCTTCATCATCGCTGTATATGTCTAAGTCTTTTAAATCGTCTTCCCGTTCTCTGAAATCCTCACCAGCAGAATGCGTGTCCTCCTCGTCACACCACTTTTTGGGTCTCCTTTTATTTACTCTATTTGTGGAGCGAAAAATCTTTTGATCCTCCGGTTCTGCTAGTGAATCGAGTCTGGAGTCCTGCCAAGCTCGCCCGTCCCTGTCTGCAGCCATTGTACCCGTGGCTTCCCCTGACGGGATAGTAATTGCAGAATCAGACGAGCTCTTTATCTCCCTCGTTCCATTACGGGAGGAGTGATTTGGACTTCCGCCTCCGGTATGCCGAGGCGAGGACGAGGTTGGGGACGCGTTGTCCGGGGCTAGCGATTTGAGCGGGGCGTTCACTCCGTCATCATCAACAATATCCATATGCGCCAGCGCCTCTTTTTCTATTTCATCATCTGTGTCGAGTTTTGTCACACTAATTATCTCCTCTATGACGTCCCCGAACTTTACGTGCGGTTTTCCTGAATGACTTTTCTCGCTATTCCTCTGATCTATGGGGCTGTTTTCTCGCGTGCTCATGAACTTCCCATCCTCTTCCCGATAGTTGTAATTTGTTTCATAATCAGAATCATCCGAATTCTCCTCATCCTCTGACGATGAAACATTCCTTGATTCTGTCAGAACAGCGTTGTCCAAAACGGCACTACTTTCGTCAGTTTTGTCAACACGTTCGTTTGTTTGTTCTCCTTTCAACTCGTCTTTAGTAACTTCTGAGACAGAAGTCCTAACATTCTGATAAAAGATGTCATCAGCTGCTGACTCGTTTTCGAACAAGGCGAAATAAGAACTTTCCACGGAGTCACGTCTGTTCAAACTCAAGGGGTTGGAGATACTCTTTGTCTGGCCAGTAATGGTTTCCGTCGTGTTGTCACTGTTGTGGCTCCCGTCTTTTTCCGTCAGCTCCGTGGTGGGCGTTCCAGCACGAGAATAAATAAGTGCTCCTGTTATGTCTTTTTGCGGCAACACATCTTTTAAATTTTCATTCGAACCTTTTGTATCACTGGCGTCTGGATCTTTGTCTAGTGATGACATAACATCAACACCAGAAGTCGGAGGCAAAGTCTCCCCCTCTCCCTGGTGCATTGTTTCCACGCCACGCTGCGTATCCCAAAGGCCCTCGTTCTGCCTTTTCAAAATCGATAGAGTTGGCGAGACTGGTCTGTTACTACTCATTTCAGAGTCCTTTATTATTTGTCTTCCTTTCTCGTCTTCCATTTCTGTGTTAGTCATCCCAATTTTTTCTTCCGCTTCCGAAAGCAAAGAATTGGATCGATAATGGGACTTAATTCGCTTTTCACTCTCGTTGTCTTTCTCCGTTTCTCCCACCCCGAAAACACAATTGTTTAATTCGTGTGAGCCGGTCTGCGAGTGTCCCCCTTGATCTACATCATGGTCACTGATCTGGTAAAAAGCAGACTCAATGGGATCGCAATGTTCGCTTTGAGCCTTGAGGGACGTTGCTGTACTGTTATCATCACCCGCGACATTGTCCGTGCCCTCTTGTACAAGTATACTCTTCACAGACGTTTCAGAGTCCAGCTTGGGCGGAGAAGACACGCTGTGGTCGGGAGCACCAGTGGGGGGAACACTGACCCTGTCAGTGCGCTCTACTGGAGTCAACTCTCCTGTAGCCTTGTAGGATGATCCAGCCGACATGTCTTCTTTTGTGGAAACGCCCCCGGGGACACAAAGAGAAGACGGGCGTTAAAGAACTTTTTTCAAGTAATCGAGCAGATAGTTAAATTGTGCAGCTTCATGGTCTGTACAAATCCATGCAATGAAATAACGTTACTAAACAATAATACTGTCATGGCAATTCTTCAAATAGCACAATCTGTGAATGAATATCCGTATGAATAAGAACTTGCTTTTGACTAATGACTCGTCCAGTTTATTGGATGCTGCTGTAAAATGGCTCAAAATAGGACGTGTCTATAAATTTACGAGTGTCCATGCTTGCTGAATAAAAGTTACAGAATAAAACCCATTGCAAATTGCCAACTGTCATTACTACTGATAGAATTAGTAGTTGCAAAATCGATCGACTTTTTTTTCTTGTCACTCAAACATGATGTAGTGTCATAAACTGAACTGAGCTTTGATCACTTCAATGCACTGTCGCGTGATTTGATCACTTAAAAAATAATGTATTGACTTCTTTGTTGTTGTGACTCGTAGTTTGATACACTGCAGGTTGCGTCCAAGAAATCTTGCTTGTAAGTCTTATCTGTGAATATGCAGCATTTTAAATTGAGCATTAGTCAAAGTCGTACAGTGGAAACTGGTCCAATAATCATATCAATCAAACCCCACCGACCCTTGGCCAAGGTTCAGACACGGTGTCACAAAACAATAATTTAAAAAGAAATACGCTATGCACATAAACAGCTAAAACACTTACATCACAGGTCCATATTTGGAATATTATGTTTTGCATTGATAAGCCTGCAGGATGGATGAAACCATTCGTTTATAATAATATTATATAATATATGCTTTGTTGTTCTGTCTACAGTGTAAATAGCTGTTTTCCTATTATCAATAAAAATAGTCTTTGTGGTGTACACGTATAATGAAAACATAAAAAATACACTGGTATCTGGTCGTGTTTAATACGTGATGTCTAGCAGAGGCGAACCATGATTGTGTATAAGACCCTTTTGAAGGCTGTAATGGAAAATTTTCAGTTTGAAAATGCAGGGTGAAGAATTGTTCTCAAAATTGAAAATTAGTTGATTGCGATTCCATTGTAGATGGAGTTTGTGTTTTGATGACAGCTTTGTGAGTTCATATATGTATGTATGCATGTGTGTGTGTGTGTGTGTGTGTGTGT